GAGTGGTGGGGAGGGGCAGAGGGTGAGAGAGAAAGAAGCAGACTCCCTGCTGGGAGCCCCATGCAGGGCTAGATCCTGGGACCCTGGGATCATGACCTGAGCCAAAGGCAGACACATAACTGAATGACCCGTGCACCCCTCTTTGCTATTTTCTTATTACTGTATAGAAACACAACTGATTTCTGTGTATTAATTTTGTATTCTACAACTTTACTGAATTCATCTATTCTAGTATTTTGGTGGAATCTTCAGGGTTATCTATGTATAGTATTATGTTATCTGCAAGTAGTGACAACTTCTTTCTTGCTAATTTAGATAACTTTTATTTTTTCCCTTGTCTGATTGCTGGGGCTTGGGCTTGCAGCATGTTGCATAAAAGTGGAAAGAATGGACATCCTTGTCTTGTTCCTGATCTTAGAGGAAAAGCTCTCAGTTTTTCATCAGTGAGGATGATATTAACTATGGGTTTTTCATATGTAGCTTTTATTATGTTGAAATATGCTCCCTCTAAACCCATTTTGTTGAGATATTTTTAGATTGTGAAGGGATATTGAATTTTGTTGAATGCTTTTTTTTTTACATCTCTTGAGAGGATTATATGGTTTTTATTCTTTTTGTTGATGTGCTTCTGTTGAGTGATTTATGAATATTGAATCATCCTTGCATCCTTGGAATACATCCCAGCTGATCATGGTGAATGATCCTTTTAATGTATTTTTGAATGTGGTTTGCTAATATTTTGTTGTTCTCAACATCCCTATGTTCGTCAGGGCTATTGGCCTGTAGTTCTCTTTTTTCATAGTGTCTTTGTCTGGTTTTGGTATCAGGGTGATGCCTCGTAGAATGCATTTGGAAGCTTTCATTCCTTTTCTGTTCTTTTTTGGAATAGTTTAGAGGAAAATAGTTTTTAATCTTCTTAAACTGTTTGGTGGAATTCACTTGTGAATCTGTCTGGTGGTCCTGGACTCTAATTATTGCCATTTCATTAATTGTTTTCTGGTGGTTGTTGTTGTTGTTTTTAGTTTTTCTCTGTTCCTTTCTTTTTTCCTTGTAGTTTGTTCTCTTCCCTGGTGGCTTGACGGCTTTCTTTCTTTAATGCTATACTTGGATTCCTTTCTCTTTATTTTTTGTGTATTACAAGTTTTTGGTTTATGGTTACCATTGGGTCACATACAATCTCCTATGTGTATGGCAGTCAATAGGTCTATTTTAAGTTGGTGATTGCTTAAGTTTAAATACATTCTAAGGGACACCTGGGTGGCTCAGTTGGTTAAGCCTCTGCCTTCGGCTCAGGTCATGATCCCAGCGTCCTGGGATGGAGTCCCACATCAGGCTCCTTGCTCAGCAGGGAGCCTGCTTCTCCCTTTGCCTTTGCCTGACACAGGTCCACCTGTGCTCACTCGCTCTAACAAATAAATAAATCTTTACAAAAAAAAAATACATTCTAAAAGCACAAAATTTTTCCACCCCATCTACATTTTGTGTACCTGATATCATGTTTTACTTCTTTTTGTGTATTCCTTGACTACTTTTTGTAGATATAACTGGTCTTACTACTTTTGTGTTTTAACCTCCATACTGGCATCATTAAGTGATTACTACTTTTACTGTATGTTTTCTTTTACTTGTGAAATATTGTCCTTTCATATTTTCTTCTAGTTGTGGCAGTTTCTTTCCATTTAAAGAAGTCACTTCGACATTTCTTATAAGGCTAGTTTAGTGGTGATGAACTCTTAACTTCCATTTGGGAAATCCTTTCTCTCCAATTCTGAATGAGAGCCTTGCTGGGTAGAGTGTTCTTGGTTGTAGGTTGTTTTTTTTTTTCCTTTCAGTACCTTGAATATATCATGCCACTCTAGCCTGCAGACTTTCTGCTAAAAAACAGCTCACAACCTTATGGCATTTCCTTTGTATGTAACTGTTTTCTCCTCCTGCTCTTAAGATTCTCTCTTTATCCTTGATCTTTGTAGCTTTAATTATTGTATGTATGTATGTAATTATTGTATGTATTATTGTATGTAGGTGTGGATGTCTTTGGGTTCATCTTGTTAGGGGCTCTCTATGCTTCCTGGACCTTGGATGTCTCTTTCATTTCCTAGGTTAGGAATTTCTTCAAATAGGTTTTCTGTCCCCATATGTCTCTCCTTCTCCTGGGACCTCTGTAGTGTAAATGTTATTATGTTTGGTGATGTTGCAGATGTCCCTTAACCTATCCTCATTTTTAGATATTTTCTTTTCTCTTTGATGTTTGCCTTGATTGCTTTCATTATCCTGTCTTCCAGATTATTGACCCATTCTTCTGTATCTCTAATCTGTATCTCTAATCTGCTCTTGATTCCCGTGTGGTATATTTTTAATTTCAGTTATATATTCAGTTTGACTGGTTCTTTTTTATATTTTCTGTCTTTTTGTTGAAGTTCTCACTGCAAACTCTTCTTTAGGGTCCAGTGAATGTCTTTATGACTTCTACTTTGAATTCTCTATCTAGCATATGGCTTATCTCCATTTTGTTCAGCTCTTTTTTTTTTCTTTTTTGTGGTTTTATCTCACTCTATCATTTGGGAATATTCCTGGGTCTGCTCCTTTTCTTTAACTCTGTGTTTCTTTTTATTGCCATCATGAGTTATTGGGGGAAATGTAAAGTAAACTGCGGTGACATACTACTAAGCACCAACTATAGTGTCTATAATTTAAAAACAAATGTTGGTGAAGGTGTGGAGGAATTAGAACTTTCACAACTTGCTGGTGAGAAGGTAAAATGGTACATCCACTTGGGAAAGTTTGTACTATCTTAAAAAGCTAAACATAGATATACCATATAACCTAGCCATTCTGCTCTCAGTATCTACCTAAGAGAAATGAAATATATACCCATACAAAGACCATGAAAGTTTATAGCAGAAATTTTCCCAATAGATAACAAGTAGAAACAACCCAAATATTCATCAGTCAATGAATGGATAGTGTAATACTATTCAGTAGTAAAAGGAGTGAACTGATACATGCTGCAACAGAGATGGATCTCAATTACGTTCCATGAAAAAAACCAAATGCAAAACACTATACACTGTCCAATTTAGTTTATATAAGATGTTCAGAAAAGGCAGATCTATAGAGACCAAGAGCAGATAGAATGGTTGACTGGTAATGGAAGTAAAGATCAATTGCAGATGGGCTTGATCTATATTTTTATGGTAGAATTGTTCTGTAACTGGGTTTTTGTGATGGTTGCACAACTCTGTAAACGTTATTCCATAATTTAAAAAGGTAAGATGGTGCATTTTGTGTTTTTCAGATTTTATTTCAGTAAAAATGTTTTTAAGAAGTGTGCCTAAGGACTCCACTGGTATTGGCCCTATATAACCAAGACTCCTCAGAAGCTGCTTTTGTTCCTCTTTGTAAAGCTGTAAGCAGGAGAATTCCCTGTGGATTCAGAGGGTTCACTAGGATTTCATACTGGTTACTTTAGATCTGGTAGTTGATGGACACAGTGGAGGCAATGTAGGACTTGGGTGGGAGCCCAGTATTATGACAAGAATGGAAGCACTATCAAGGTGTTTGAATGGTATGGTTTGCTGCCCTATTCTTCTCATTTAGATTTTTAGTGTCAAAGCTGCCCCCAGGATTTGTATGGAGAAGTTACTTTCAAAGCATCCTAGAGTGTGATTTGAGGACAAAACTTGTTCCTCAGGATGCACGGAGGCCATCTTTAGGGCCTATTTTCTTCGGGTGCAGTCCTCTCATTATCGTGGCCATGCCAGTCCCATAGCAAATGTTCCTCTTGAGACTGACATCCCCTAGATATGGTTGGCCTATGCTTTTCATTCTTCAAATATTCTGAAATTCTCCTTCTTCTGCAAATATTCCCTGATTATTTTTCATTTTCCTTTAACCTTTATTCTCTCTAGATATATTGTGCTCCTAGCCATAATAGAGGCTGTAGGAAGAACATGACATTGGAGTCAACTATGTTGTTTAAATTCCAACTCTTAATTCCCTAGCCATGTGACTTTTAGAAAAGTTTCTTAGCCACTCTGAATCCTGCTCTTGGAAATCTGTAAAATAGAGGTAATTACACCCTTACAAAGAGTGAGTATAAGATGAAACAAGGTCATGTATGGAAATCCCTGAGTGCAGTTAGTTGGTGCATAGTTAGTGTTCCTCGATTGTCAGAACCAGGTAGTGGAGTGGGTCCACAGCATGGATTCTGGATCTGGGTTTGCAGCCATGCTTTTTCACTTTTAGACAAGTGACCTTGGGCAAGTTTCCTAAGTTCTCTGTGCCTCTGTTTCTGCATCTATAAAACAGGCATATTGAAAGCACACATCTGATTAGGACTGTCTGAAGATTAAAAGAGTTAATATAGAAAGTATTTATAATATTGCCTATCACATGATAAACTCTATGCATGTGGCAGCTGCTGTTCTCTCTCCAGCCAATACAATGCCTTTATTCTCTTGGGGCAGCATATTTGATTTATGTGGATTAAATGTCTGGATTAAAGGGATGTAATCATGGTCACCCTATGGATGAGAACAGAGGTCTGCTTGGTCTGGCTGGTGGCCCACCAGTGGTGGGCTGTGAATCCCCTATCTCACTACACCATGCATATTTTTCCACTCTGTGCTGATTCAGAGAGGGGCCCTTCCCCATAGAGGAATAGAACCATTCTTGGATCAAGGTATACCAGTGCACTCCTCAGCTGGAATCAAATTCTAGATCCTCCCACAGCTGTGGACCCTCTAAAATCCCTGCATGTAGCATTGTGGGTTATGATGAGACTCCTGTCAATTCATCTGTTCTGCATAGTAACTTCCAAATACTGTAAAGTTGAAATATTAAACCCTTGGTTGAGGTAGTAGAAGAGATCTGCTCTCCTCTTCCCTTGTCTCAAGGACCATCTCATTGGAGACGGGTTTAAGGCTTTGAGGCCCCTTAGAATACATGCATGTTAAGTGGACTTGGTTGATAAGTAGTCACCACTACTGTTTTCTTTTCAGCTGATTACTTACCATGGAACCAACCAAGACGAGAGCTCCTGCGTCCAGAACACCACTACCGGCCAGTATCGACTCGATTTGATAGTAGAACTACACACCAGGATGACTATTCTGTAAAGAGCCGAGTGAACACCTTGAGTTGTAAGCCTCTGGCCGTGCCCAAGCTCTGTAACATCCCCCTGGAGGATCTGACTAACTACAAGATGAGCTACGTGGCCCACCCAATGGAGAAGCGCTTTGTGTACGAAGCAGAGAAGTTCAGACCCTGTGAAATCCCCTTTGAAAGCCTTACCACCCACAAGGAATCCTACCGGGGCCTGAGAGGAGAGCCAGCCAAGAGCTTGAAACCTGCGACCAGGCCCTGTGGTTTAGACATGCCTTTCTCTAACACCACTGAGTTTCGAGATAAGTACCAAGCTTGGCCAACGCCCCAGATGTTCTCCAAAGTTCCTGTCACCTATGTCCCTCCTGAAGAAAAGATGGACCTTCTGACTACAGTGCAGGCCCATTACACATACCCTAAGGGTGCCCCAGCTCAGTCATGCCGACCGGTGCTCTCAGTCAAGAAGTGTGGTCGCTTCGAAGGCTCCACTACTACCAAGGACGACTATAAGCAGTGGCCTGGCATGCGCCCAGAGCTAGTCAAGCCCGTTCCCCAGCTGAACATTCCCACCGAGCCCTTGGATTGTCTGACCACGACTCAGGCCCATTATGTGCCCCACCCACCCATTAATACCAAAAGCTGTAAGCCTCCCTGGGCCAGCCCCCAAGGAAATATCCCAGTGGAGGGCCAGACCACATACAGCATCAGCTTTACTCCTAAGGATCTGGGCAGGTGCCCAGCCTCATATGCTGAGCCCCCTGGCTACATCTTTGAGGAAACGGATGCTTTGGGGCACAGGATATACAGGCCAGTGTCCCAGACAGGGTCTCCGCAGAGCAGCCGTCTTTCTGTAGGTGATTCGGAGAACCCCAACCAGCAGGAGTTGGCAGTGTCAGCCTGATTTTTTTTTTTTTAAATCATTCCTTAGAAATTGCACAATACTTTTAAAAGAAGATGATTGAGAGTTATTCATTGGCCAAAAAAGAATTCCCCAAAATGAAAAAAAAAAGTTCATCATCATTTTCCAGGACACTTGAATAAAATGAGAATTGCTTGACTCAAGGAAAATGACATTTAATCACTGGCTAAGTATTCCTCTTAACCCTCCCTCTGCTGCCTCTCCCACTTGGGTCCCTTACCATGTGCTGATGGAATCAAAGCTGGTCTCAAGGGTTTTTCTCTGAACCAGAAATCTTTTCTGAATTTAATCATTGTATGACTTGACATTGCAATTAACTCTTGCCAAGTATGAGGTGCTGAAGAATAAACTTTATTTTGGGGGGAATGAATCTGCAAGTCTATGAGTTCACCCTTACATGCTGTCTCTGCAGAGAACGGGCTATGTCCCTTGGGGCCTTTTGGGAGATTTCAGACTATGGCCCCCATTGTACTCCAGTACTGATGGGTGTACTTTGAACTCCATCTGGAATTCTGTGTTCTCTCTCTCTGCCCAGGGCTGCTTTATAGGGCATCTTTCTACCATCTCATGCCATGACGAACTGGCAAGAATAGTGCTATCTGAATGGGGCCTGGGTGTTTTTAGGCATAGGAAGTGGAGAGGGGAGAAAGGTATCCTATGGCAGTCCCAGGGGAGCATGGACCTGCCAGGTCTCTCTTATCCCCAAACCAGTGCTGGCCCTGATTCCAGGACAAGGGAGAGGCAAAGGAACCCTTGACAACTGGGTAGTTGTCAGGCTTCCTCTGGGCTGTGAGCAGAAACTGTGAGCTCTTTAAAGTGCTTGGAGCTTATGCTGGGCATGTTCTTGGAAGCCTAGATCTGCTTTTCCTAAGATAACAGCTGTGACCAGACTTGTGACAAAGCTTGACAGTGATGAATTGGACCCTGCCCTAAAGGGCTGGAGGTTTCTCTTTTGGGTCAAATGCTTGATACTAAGGCTAAGTAATTTGGTGATTAAAAAATTTTTTTTTTAATTGGAAAGAATTGAATAAAGATTTTGTCCAAGAGGGCCTATGCCAGGGTCAGATGGGCTCACGGTGTGGGTGAACCTCCCTCAGAGTGATGTAGGCTGACACCTGGGACACTCACTTCCCTTCTGAGGTCACAGAACCCTAAATCTTCTACACAGAACAGTGTTTGGAGGAGGAAATTTCAGCTCAAGTCTGGAGACCTGGGTTTAGGTTCAGTGCTTGGTTCATGGGTGAGAAATCTGTGTCTTTTATCTGGGGTCCCATCTTTCTAAGGCTTTTGCTCACCTGGCCCAGACCTCTCAGGTCCCCATGCCTTGCAGCCTCACTGTGAGGTTGGTTTGTATCACTGGGTTGGGATCAAAATCCTTAAATCCTCTTGTTGCTTATATGGGGTCTGGATACCTGCTTCTCTGCGGTAGAGAGGCTCAGGGAGTTAATGGGCCTTGCCCAAGGCCACACAGCATGGGGCACCAAGGTCAAGATCGGAACCCAGCTGTCTGATTCAACAGCCAGTGCTCTTCCCACGGGGCCAGGTACCTCCTATCTGCTGTGTCCTAGTTTGCATGGCTCCACAAGCACATCAATCCACATTTTCTCTGAGTTCCTCCCTGGAGTGCATTAAGCTAAAGGAGACCACTAGGAGGGTAGGTTTTATTACCTTCATTTTGTAACTTTGGCAAATCAGAGAAATATTGGCAGTTGACTTGAAAAGCCACGTAGTGCTAGATGCTTATAAAAATGCAACAATCTCTTAGGCTTTAGCAGTTGGCCTCCCCTGTTATTGCTTCCCCAGAGAAGAATTTAAAATTATTTTATCTGTTCCTGCTAATGTTTTCCTTAATGTTCATAAGTCATATGCATGTACTATTGTTGGTTGACTTATTGGTTTTAGACATGGTCTGTTTTGGTAGATTGGGAATTTTAATCTTCTCTCTCCCACCTTGTCAGTGAAATAAGAGAATGGTGCTCAGTGTATCAAGACTGAGAAGCTTTTCTAATGTTTCTGGTGAGTACAAAGAAGCTGAAGAAGGATGGTTAGATGATTGCAGGCCAGATGAGCCACTTAGGGCTTCCCTACATTGCCAGCTTCTCCCAGAATTAAGGAATCTGTGCTCCCCTGCTCTCTGTCCTTTTTTTGGTCTCAAAATAACCTTATTATGAAAGTGGTTAATACAGTAAAAAATATGGGAAACACAGAAACTACAGAAAGGGGGATCCAAGTAACTCTTACGGGGACTAGTGGAACCCAGCGGTTAGAACATATGTGTAAGGAGGATGTCCGGGAGACCTGGGTTCGCTTCTTGGCCCTTGTCACCCACTGGCTAGGAGACCTCAGGCAAGTTCTTTAAAATGTGAATAACAGCAGTCATGGACCCATGGCTTCATTGTTTGCGTCAGTGATAGAATATATGTCCATTGCTCTGCCCTGGCGTATGGTTAACTCTCATTTAGGTGTAGGTGAGGATGATGAAGACAATGAAGGTGGCTGCTGACTTCTGCCTCGCTGAATCTACTCATGATTTTATGGGCCATTGTTTGCAAGTATGAAGGTAAGCAGGACTGCTCTTGTGTTCTATTTGGCCTAATTTACAAAGGAAAATATTCACCTTTCCCCCACCCCATAATTATTTTTGTTTTTTCTGAGTTGGGCTTGCTCTCTGTGCTCCCTGGAAATGGCATTTTAGGGAGTAACTGGGGCCAGGAGGAGGGAAACAGGGAGAGCCGAGCAGATGGGCTCCCCGTTCCCCCCTTGCCCTGTCACAGCCGCTTCTTGTTAATCAGTTCTGTGTATCTGGTTTCCATGTAAGAGTTGTGGGACGCTTAACCAAATGAGCCACCCAGGCGGCCCCCAAGCTCTATCTTATCGGTGGAAAGCAGAGTCTCTCAGTGTGGTCGATGGGCTGCAACTAGTGAAATTCGTCGGTGTGGAAGCCCTGGGCTGTGCTGCCCAAAGCAGGTGATCCCACAGATATGGCAACTGCTAGGAATAGGTCCCACTCCTCACAGTGGTGTCTCCCTGCCTGTGCTGTCAGCAGGGCAGGCCCTATCCTCTGGCTGACTGGACAGTGGGCCACCTACATGAGTCAAGGCCCTGGTACATCACTCTCAGTTTTGGTGATCAGGAGCCCCCTCTTTACTTGACCCCCCCCCCCAATTAAGGTATAATCACAGCACTAAGAACAGGTTAAAGGACCTTGGATTCTAATACTTCTTGCATGTTCACAAGGGTCCATGTCTTGAAGAACGAGCCTCCCTTTCTTGGGTTGGATCTAAGATGCTAGGCCAGGCGGGGACTGGAGGGTGGAGATGCCATCGCCATTGTTAGCACCATCTGTCCCTATGCTTTCTATGGTACCTGGTGTTTCCAACCCTGAACCCCTGCCGGGCTCTGCCGTGCATGCCTGCTCCCTCTCAGCTCTAGTGCTCTTGGGACAGTTTTGTTCGAAGCTGTGGCTTCCCTTCTGCGTTTCTCAGTCTTCATTCTCCCATCTCCCTCTCATCTCCTTCACCTTTCCTGAAACTCCTTGTCCACTGACGACCCTCCTCCCATCTTCCTCACTGGAGCATTTAATAATTTCATTATTGCTTTATTATAGTTTACTTACTGTGGGGTATGTGAGCGGGGCAGGAAGGAGACCAGCACCAACAGGGAGTCTGCCCTTGACCTCTGTAGGTGGACCCAGGTGAAGGTGATAAAGCACAAATGGGATTTTGTGGGCATTTTCTTAACTGGACAGCATACCTAGAGGGCGACATCCCACTCCACCCCGAGTGGACAGAAGGGCAAACGTGGGCAGTGTGGCATAGGTACCAGGTCAACCTGTGTGTTCAGGTGGTGGGGGCCACTCGCTTCTGAACCACAGGCTGTTTCTAAGCCAGCGCCCATGGCATCAGATGGTGCTCCCCCCACCTGCATCCTTGGCCTCACCCATCCTCCCTCCTACCCTTCTCAGGTATCACCAGCAGTTTCTCAGAGTGGGAGGGTCTGGGATGGGGGTGGCTCAGAGACAGCCGGCCACTGAGCAGAGACCGCAGCCTGGTTGTGCCATGAGGAAGAGCAATCCTGGCCGGGGCCAGGCTCCACGCTGGGGTGACTGGGGGAGCAAACAGTCTGTCTCGTGGTTTTGCTTTCACGCTCTGTCCTTGGAATACCTTTCATTGCAGTCTCGATGCCATGAACATATTGGAAATAACATACTAGTTAGGATCACTGTCCTCCTCTCCCCCACTCCAAGCTTCTGCCTCTAAAGCAGGCGTGAAACTGACAGATCCGAGCCAACGGGATCGGCTTGTCCATACCTTTCCACAGTGATGCCCCCTTTTGGGATCTGGTGCTCAGGGCATAAAGATAAGCTGAAGGAATCGGCTTCCTCTCCAAGTGCTTTTCAGTTGTGCGGTTGCCAAGAGAAAGTAAGCGGCCAGGTGGGGGTATGGACAGCTTCTAGTTGCAGATTAAATGGCCCCCTGACTCCTCAGACCCACCCTGCCATCCACCCAGCCCACATCTGGTCAGCAGCCTGGAAGCGGGAAGACAGAGGCCCTTCTGAGCATAAATACGGGGGTTGGCAGGCAGCAGGGGTGTTTTCTTTGGCAGAGCAGGCTTGGAATTTCCACACGCCTGGCTGAGCAGGTGCTTGGCTCCTCCCCACGTTGGGGGTGCAACACGAGCCCCGGAGCCTGTAAACCTTCCAGAACATATGCTCTGGATTCTGGAAAAGGCATCAGGGTAATGCTAGGCTGGGCTGTGCTTTATACGTCCTACTTCTGCATCACAGGTGCCCTGGTCCCTGTCTCTGGATCTTTGGACACCAATATGACAGGTCCTGATGGGTTTTTCTTGTCAAGACTTGGGGTGTGGCAGCAAGCCCAGGTTCATATTAATCAAAAGGATTCAGGAGCTTTCCACGGCTGTGATGGAATTTTTTTTTTTTTTTAAGATTTTATTTATTTATTTGACAGAGATCTCAAGTAGGC